AACCCCAAGATTAATTTCTTTATATAGAAAACTTATTTTTTGAATCCCAAGAGGAGTTCTGGAAGAGTGAAGTAGCAACATGGAAATCCCTTGTGCTTTGCACCCCTCATAGAGACTTGGTTCTCCCCAAAATATGCCAGAAACATTTTTTTCTGAGAGCAAAAAGTGTACAAAGAAAAGTTAGGAATGGAAAGAGGAAATGGGAAAAAAAATTACCCTATGTTTTAATGGCAACAGGCAAGGAGGGGAAGAATAGTTCTTAGAGACAATAATTTACTCAGCACAGCATCTGAAATTCTACTGAAGTGGGAGATTGAGCTGAAGTACCATCTTGTAGCTTGTAATTACACATACCTTCTTCTTACCCTAGCTTACCCCGCCCCGAGCCTAAACAAGAATACATTGATTTATAAACACTAAAACCTGGAAAAGCTGGGAGAGGGGGTGGGGTTACAGAGAGTAGGTTTTAAGAGTGGATGATGCCCTGGTAAACTCAAAGAGGGCTTTCTGTTTTCCCTCAGAGCCTTGATTCCAGATATCTGTGTTCAGTCTGGTTATGGTGATCTTTTCTGTGAGATTTAAGTGTACAACTGTTACTGGTGCTTGTGTTGACAAGAATGAGATTTAAACCACAGGACTCAACTTCATTCACTTCATAATGAAAGGTCAGAGGAAAATTTGGTTTTCTAAACATTTTAAGTGCAAGCAAATTCTTCCTATGAAAGACTTGGGCAAGGTGGGAAGGGATTACCATGTCCTCATTATTAGTTTTAAAACCAGTAAATCTATTTTTAGATTTAAGCAGAGTGAAATACTGAGAATAACACAAAGGTTATGAACTTGGAAGACTGCTAGGAGGGTGAAGCCATTGACTGAAATCAGGAAGTTCAGGTGAAAAGAGAGTTTGGGAGAGAAGAAAATGAGTTTGAGATGGTCAAGAAGTAGTTGGTGATGTAAGTCTGTAGGTTCAGGAGACTGAAAATGTTGGCTGCAAACCATCTTGCTAAAGAGAGTAATTAAACCGATGGGAGCTGGTGAAGTGATCAAGCAAGAACCCAGGATAGAGGCTTGGCTATTGGGTCTTTAGAGATCTGGTCAAAAATATGCAGTTACGTGATCTGTAATCTTCTGTGGACAATGCTATAAAATACCATCTATTTTAGCATATATATATATGTATATGTATGTATACACACATACATACACACATTTTTGTACTCTCCAAATTGAGATTGAATTATTGGTTAAGTATCCTGACAGTTGAGTCCAGCCTCAACTCAGGTTGTGTCCAATTTAGTTGGATAGCAGCAGAGCCTCCTTTAACCTAGTGCTAATGCAGCTGTGAATGGGCTGGGGGTGGGGAGGGGGGAGAGGGGGCTGTATGAAGGAAAGGAACTCCTGGAGCATCCAGTCAGGGGTGGGGAACTTGCAGCCGAGGCCACACGTGGCCTCAAGGCTGAAGGTTCACCACCCCTATAGACTTAAGCAATTGAAAACTATAGCAAGACAGAGGTTGACTGAGGTGGCTTGCACATATCAAAACCTGAATGTTGGAACAACAATTTCAGGTGTATCTGTAATTTTATGTATTCATGTGTCTTTATCTCCTACACATGCATACATTTTGCTTAGAGAGTTAACTGGTTTCATATGCAAATACTGGGTAGAGCATACAATAACGGAAAAGGGAGAAATGGTTATTGTGTAGTCAGTTATAATTTCTGGTAGCAGTACTAGGATTTTGAATTGAATTACTGCTTCCTTTCCAGCCAAAGGTTTTGCACATCAATGAAATGTCACTTTTGTATTCTGCGATCTAGCATTAGGAACCTGTGTGGGCTTGACACCCATGTGTTTTGCTTTTCTTTTTCTACCTGGTGCGTGGGCACCATGCCGCCTTAGCAGATGTGTGGTAGCACAGATCTGCCAGAGAACCAAAATGTGCACAACAGCAGTCTATGGAGAGCTTTTGTGCTGACTTGGCACAGGATCTCAGTGGGTTCTCAACCCTAGAATTTAAAATATATTATATTTCATCACCTGGAAACTATATTTGCAGTGGGGGGGGAGGAGCTAGGTGCCAGGCTTTTGGATGTTTATTTTAGAGTCGGGACACTGCATGGAATTATAGTCAAAATCCCAGACTGGTGTTCATCGGGTAGTAACTGTAGATCTTGACAAAAAGGTCCTAAGAACCTTAGCTTTCTCCAGAATAGTCCAATCATGTCCTGAAGCCAGAGAACACAAATGCATTTGCCACTCCTATCTCAATGAGACTCTTGTTTTTTTAATTTTTGGTTGGTTTTTAATATTGCTCATCTAGTCACCAATAAAATAAAATTTTATATGCTTCTCAGTCATATATTTTGGTTGTATAAAGAAGCATTCCAAGTAGAAGGGCATTTTGTCCATATACTTATTGCACAGCATAGCAGATACATGTTTGCTTCAATAGCCTCTGTTGCATTTTATGAAAGGTTCGTGGATGCTCTGGATGCTGAAAATGTTTTAAACGACTTAAGAAAAGCCATGAAAATAATTACCTCTTTGAAAGCTGACTTTAAGCCATCGTTAAGATGCTTTTTGCATAGCCGTTTGAAGAGGAGAGGGGGTCCAGACCTGTGATTTCACCAGTGTGAGGAATTCATGGTGTAGACGTGCCCTATACCAATGCAGATAAACATCATAAACAACACATCTGCAACTTAAAGCTTCAGAGAGATGCCTGGGCTACTAGCAGATTAAGTGAATTGACCTTGCCTATGTCAATATAACAAGTGTTTGCCAGAGACGGGACTTGAACTCAGATCTTCCTGATTCCAAGGCTTTCTTTTATCTAATGTGCCATGATACCTTTCATTTGATTCTTTAAACACACACGTATTTGTGTGTATGTGTAGGTATGTGTATGTTTATTTATGTAGAATATGTGTCTATACCCTTAAGAATTACACCTGGATATCTTATGTGTCACTTTAGAAGTCCATCCTTTATTGTTTTCCAAATTGAATGTATCAGTCTGAATACAATAGTACAGTTGCTTATTGGTCCAATTAAAGCTGGGCTTGATGTGTTTCAATAAGGTTTTCTTTTTTGTCTGAAGTGCTCCCTAAAAATCACAGAATATCGGGTTTGTCAGAGACTTAAAAGGTCTTCTATTCTAACCTATACCTGAGTTATATCCAATACCTCTCTACAACATATCTGATAAGTGTCCACCCAGCCTTTTCTTAAAGTCCTCGATGAGGGAAAACCTTCTGAAGCAGCCCACTGCCCTTTTGGATAACTAATCGTTAGAAAGTCTTTCCATATATATAAATATATATAAAGCCTAAATTATCCTCTTTGTTATTTCCACCCATTTGTCCCAGCTCTGCCCCCTGGGGATAAACAGAATATCCAATCTCTCTTCCTGGTGAGAGCTCTTCATATATTTGAAGATAATTAACATATCCCCCATAGTCTTTCCCAGACCAAATATGCCTCTTTCTTTCAACTGATCTTTATATGGCATGGACTCTCAAGGAATCAGGCACTATCTTCTATGCCAGGACTGAACACAATGCTCCTGATGTGCTCTGACCATAGGAGGATAATGACTTTCCTCATCTGAGCATTCTGCTTCTCTTAATGAAACCTAGGATCTAATTTGCTTTTCTTGGCTGCCTTATCACAGTTTTTACAACATGTCTACCAAATTAAAACTGGATTGTGATTTCTGTGGATAGAGGGATTTCTTAATCTTGGAATCTCAAATGCTGAGGAAATCATTGTTTTTTTCAAATGTTCAGGTATTCTCACTGTTGACTCGTAGTCCAAGTTGTTTCTTAAAGGCTTATTCAGATAGGTGGAGCATAAGGCTTCACATCTCATATATAGAAGGTTAAAGCTCAGAAGCTCCTTGATATGGAATTAGAATTCATTTTAATTTGTCATAAAATAATTCTGATTGGAATAAAATGCTATTCTTATCATCTTTGATGCCATCTTGTGTGACGTATGTACAGAAAGAATAGCTAGAACCCTGTCAAAGTATTGTCTCCATAATTCATTGTTGTGGTTCCTTTTTTTTCTCTTTTGCTTAACTGACAAAGGAGATAATTTAGCAAAGGGCAGGTTTAAGTAAAAATGGATGGGCGCTGAAATCACAGATGCATCTCTTGGGGGTGATAATTCATCCTAGATAATGATGGCATCTTTCAGATTGTCTGAATATTTATGTATTTTCTAGACACTGTATCCGTCTCGTTGTTCAAAGTATTAACCCCATTCAGGGCCGCCTGGGAAAGACAGAGGGAGGGCTGAGAGAATGTGAGAATTCTCTACTTTAAATCAGCTCAGTACACACCACTGAGCACCTATACTTGGAGGTTTGACTCCTTTTGGATGAACTGCATGTGTAATGGAAAGACTTTAGTGTGCTTTTCTGCAAATCAATTTTATTGGAAATTGACATTAGTTCTTTATGGCAAATTGAATAATGAGAAAGGGAAAAAAAATAACAGTAACAGGAGCATGAAAACAGAATCAGCAGTTGGAGTGTGGAGGGAGCTGCCCACAAGCACTGCACAAGAGCAAACTGAGTTGAATAAAGTGAATCAAAAGACATGTTAGATAAAAGACCAGTCTTGGAATCAGGAAGATCTGAGTTCAAGTCCTGTCTCTGGCAAACACTTGTTATATTGCCATAGGCAAGGTCAATTCACTTAATCTGCTAGTAGTCCAGTTTTGCCATACAACCAGTACCTCTTTGAATTACCCACTGTTAGTTTAACTTAGATGACCGGTCATCTGACTGGCCTAATGTTTTTAGCCATAGATCTATGTGTGATTATTCATTGGCAGGTAGACAAGTTGACCACAGTTCTACCCATGTTTCACTTATCAAGCAAAACAGATTGATCAGGTCTATTGTATTGCAGTATTAAAATAGACCGAGATTCAAGAATACTTCAGGAGGGGCTATGACTGTCCTGTTTTATCTACTTCTCTGTAATCAGATAGAACCGGACTTCTCGTTGGTACACGTTAGGAACAAATGCTGCTACCACTTGCCAGCCCACCCAGAAACAAAGGCAGTGGGCAAATGTCAGAGGTCTTGGCTGGCCCAGGCATTGCAGAGTGGTGTCTGGGAATTACAAGTGAGAAGGGCAGAAGCAGGTTGGCAATGAAATATAGTCATATTGAAGTCTGATTTGTTTCTTGTTGGTGCAACACAGCATATTCTTTGAGAGATTCCTTGCTTTAGGGAGGCAAGAGGACTGCCACGTGGTCATTTTTGCTCACAATGTCCCATAGGCACCTAAATCTCAACATAACCAAAAGAAAATTCATCACGTATTTCTCCCCAAACCCATCCCTCTTCCTCACTTCCCTATTACTCTCATCCTCCACTAACCCAGATTTACATCCTTGAGTCATCTTGAATTCTTCCCACTCCTCACTCAACCCCCCCCACACTATCCAATTAGTTGTTAAGTCTTGTTGATGTTACTTCCATAGCTCTCACATCTGTCACCCTCTCTTCACTCACATGAGTCCTTCAGGCCCTCATCATATCTCATCTGACCGATTGCAATAATTTCCCAATTGTCCCCCGTTTCCAGTCTCTTCCCCTCTCCATCCTATGCTCCACATAGCTTCCAAAGTGATATTCCTAAAGCACAGGTTGAACAATTTTACTCCCCTGCTCAAGGAGTTCTGCTGGGTCTCCTTGACCTCTAGGAACAAATATAAATTCCTCTGAAATTTGAAATCCTTCATAATTTAGTTCCAGGTCCAGCACTCTATTCACTGCAGCACCACCTAGCTGCCCAATGAAGGTCCTACTTTATTGCATAAGAAGACAAGAAAACAGCAGTGGTACTTAGATCTAAACTCTCCTTGGAGTAATTTTAAAATAATATCTGTGAGAAAGATTTCAATATACTTTGATTTAAGTAAGAGAGGGGCTTTAGTGAGTTGATTTATCACTGCTTTAAAACGTGTCTTGTGTATAAAAAGCATTGTCTCACTTTTTTTTTAAATTCACATGTCTAATTGTTCCAGAGACCATTATAATAGGATTTTTAAATGTAAAAATGAAGTATTTCCCTCCTCAACATTTCTATTTCTGATGAGAAATTGTTTATTAATGTTCAAAAGAATAATTGCTGATGAGCTATCAACTAGTCAGCTTATTGACTTTCTTGATCATAATCACCATCTATTCAGTAGTTTAATCATGTTGGTCACAAATCTGCTTCATTTTCATCCTGACTTTTCATTATCATCCATTTCTTTTCGATGTGTGGAGTTTTTCCATCTGACTTGATGGAGATTTTTGTGGGATACTGATAAAGGTGCTTAATTACTTTTGCTTATTATTTGGAAAAGAGATCTTTTCAGAATATGTATGTGTGTGTTGACATTCGATTCACCTAAACCCAAGTTAAGAAATGTTAAAGATGCACGTAAAACACAACTGTGACTGAAATAGTGTGGCATGATCAACAGAAGACTGACCTTGGAATCTGGAAGACCTGGCTTCAATCTCTGCCTCTGATGCATACTAGCTGTGTAATCGAGGGCAAATGAGTTCATCCCTCAGTTCAGCTGTTGTTGTTCAGTCATTTTTCAGTCGTGTCCAGCTCTTTGTAACCCCGTTTGGGGTTTTCTTGGCAAAACTGGAGTGGCTTGCCCTTTCCTTCTCTAGTTCGTTTTTTATAGATTAGGAAACTGAGGCCAACAGGATTAAGTGAGTTGTCCAGGATCTCGCAGCTAGTCAGTGTTTGAGGCCAAATTGGAATTGATGAACATGAGTCTTCCTGACTCCACTGGCACTATCCATTTAGCCACCTAGCTGCCAATCTCTCAGTGCTCAAAGGCAAGCTTTTAAGACTATAAACTTTGATTGAGTTGCCGGTCCACATGTGTGGAGGGCCTTCCATTTAGCCCAGGGATGGGGGCAGGGAGGAGGGAGAATCACAACCACAATCAAAAGACATCATTCAAAACAATTATTCCAAATGTATTTCTCTAATTAGTTTGAATTTCATGATTAAGAATGCATTCTAATCTTTTATCTAAAGGGTGGTGAATAGGGTTTTATGTGCTTGAACCCTAGACTCTACTTGCCTTTTTTGCCATTCCTTTTTTGCTTCTTATGAACTCTTTGACTTTAATAAGTACTTTTGGTTCTTTGTTGTTGTTGGAGATGCTTCTTAGCATACTAAGCAGCTCATTCCTCAGAAAAGTCTCTAAAGCCCTCAAAACATCAGTTTCCCTGTCTGTAAAATAACGACACTCAGAATTTGTGAGCACAGCTCTTCTAAATTCCTCCTGATTGTGTCTTCTTTCTCCTAACCACCAAGTTTTGGGGTGTTTTGACCATGCTTTTCCAAATAGGTTTTGTTCCATTCTATATTTTCAACAGAATTCAGGCTTTTCTTTTGTGGTTCATTCAGGAGAAATACTGGAGTTTTTATTTAAGGTAAACTTTTGAATAACAAAAATACAGAATCCATTGTTAATAGATCCTACATAAACAGATAATTCTGAGTAGTAAAATCTTCAGGAGAGGGGTAGCAGTGGCATACTACCTTCTTAAGAGGTTACTGACCCCCCAACCCCTATAAATTCCTCTTTGATGAGGAATTGAAATGAGAAAATAATAATTATAATACCTAACATTTATATAGTGCCTACTATGTGCTAGATATTGTGCTAAGTGCTTTACAACTATTCTCTCATTTGTTCCTCTCTACAACCCTGGGAGGTAGGTTTTATTATCCCCCATTTTATAGATGAGGAAACTGAGGCAAACAGATGTTGAGTGACTTGCCCGAGCTAACATAGGTAGTAAATATCTGAGGTCACATTTGATCTCAATTCTTCCTGACTCCAAGCCCAGCAGTGTATCCACTGTACCACCTAGCTGCCTATAAATTTGTGCTCCTAATAATATAATGATGACAGACTGTAGGAATCTGAGAACGAAAGTTTCAACTTCAGTTCTGGCTGTGATAGAGGGAGAGGGTGGAGGGAGAAAGTGCAAAAGAAATGGAAAACTCATTTTGGAAAATCCAAAGAAGTTTTAACTAGCTAGCTTTATGACAAAGTACTCATAAGCCATGGGAGGGAACGGTGGCTTCTCTCCTCTAATTCTTTGGAACAGGAAATATGGGCCTGGGTCTTTATTGGATGCTTCATGAGGATTCACTCGGTCAGGGTCTTAACCTTTTCTGTGTCATGGATGCCTTTGGCCATCTGGTGAAGCCTATGGACCACTTCTGGAGATGATGTTTTTTTTTTTAATTATTGAAGGAAATACTAAATTTCAGTTAGAAGTTAGTGAAAATAATAAAGATGTAATTTTTTCCATGAAAATTTGCTTTAGGGTATGGATCGTCTTTAGTCTTTCTTTGTACCTCTAGTGCTCAGCACAGTGCTTGGCACATAATGGGCTCTTAATACAAGTTTGACTGACAAAGATCTGAAATCTATTCCTGGATCCCTTGTAAAGTCTGTGGAGCCCAGGTTAATTGTCTATGAACTAGATTCATAACAAACATAAAAATGATTAAGCTACTAAACATATACTCTAATGATTACAATGACAAGAACAGCAGTAATCAAAATGGATGTCATTGATATTTATCATAGAGGTTATGACCTCCTAGCTCCATACTGCCAGTCCAAAAGACTTCTCTTTCTGTCTATCCAACACGGCTATTCTACAGATCAAATGAAATAAGTTCTATTACGTACTTTATAATGACATGATGTCATGCTAATGCAAGCTTTGGTACATGATGAAGAAGAAGAATCAATAAGGCAATTGGGTTTGAAATCTAAAGCTCCATCAAGCCCACTGCTCTGATTTTTCCTTTTGATGTTCCTGATAATGGAACATAGAGTTCTCAGTCATGCAGCCTCTACAATAATCCTTAATGTTCCCTATGGGAAGTTATCTTTTGTCAAGGACATTTATTTACTTTTAAAAGTGGCTTTTGATTTTCCCCTCTCTTGGGGATTTGATCTAGTATACGTGTGATATCCCATGTATTTAGAATTCCACAATGCAGATGCAAAACAAGGGGAGAGGGGGCCATCAGCCTTGTTTGAAAGTGTCATGACAGCACCATAATTATAAAAATTAAAAACAATATATCAGCAACAACTGTACATCTCTTTTGATGTTCTGTAATTATGACCAGTGATAGATATTATTGATTTTAAAGCAATTTAAAACCTACCCATGATCAGCTCTTGAGGAGCAATGTGCTCTGAAATTGCTTTGTTAATGTATCTATGTTATATTTAAATGCTTGAGGAATGTTTTTCAGCTAATAAAAAATCACAGTGTGTACTTGGGCATCCCTCACACTGCCTATTAGAAATTCATCGATCATAGCAAGAAATAACTTTCATGAAATTCCTAAAAGAATTTTGCAAGTAGTAATTAGCAACATAGACTCTGTACTTAGTTGTATGGCCCAAAAAAAGGGGGAAGAAGAGGCAGTGCAAATTGACAACAGTATCATTTCCACTGTATCCTGAGTTGAATTTCAGCAGTGGTCAGCAACTACGTGCCTTAAAAGCAACTGATGGTACAATGCTGAGCCTGGAGTTAGAAAGACTTGAATTGAAATTCCACCTCAGACATTTACTAACTGTATGACTCTGGGCAAGTCACTTAATCTCTGTTTACCTTGGTTTTTTTTTTTCCAACTATAAAATGTGGATAATAATAGCATTTACCTCACCAAGTCGTTGTGAGAGTCAAATGAGATAAAATTAGCCAAAAATACTTAGCACAGTGCCTAACATGTATTAGGTGCTATATAAGTACATAATCTCTTCCCTTCCCCCTGTTTCTCCCTCCATATCCATTGTTAGGATTTGTGAGTATAGAGTCACCTCCAACTTTTTAGCAATACAATATTTGATAAACAAATACTTAAGCATAAAGTGAGCTTTAAACATTTCTCCTTGCCTATTCATCGCTATATTTTTGCTTCCCAAAATAGTCATCTATTTTGGGGAAGAAAGAGGGAAATCAAAGAAAAGATTAGACTCTGCTCATGTGGATTGAATGGTAATAATTTACAATTTGTTCAGGTATTCCTCAATTAACAAGCATATACTTTTCCCAGCTTTTTGCTAATACCAAAAGTATTGCTATGAATATTTTGGCTTATCTGAGACCTTTGTTTCTGTTTTTCATCACCTTGTGGTATAGGTATAATACTAGGTTCATTGGATTAAAGAGTATGAAGAATTAAGAAATTTTTCTTACATAATTCCAAATTGTCTTTCTTCAGAAGGGTTAGAACAATTTCCAGCTTTCCTAACAGTATATTAGTGTTCCTGGCTTCTCACAGCCCCTTCCCCATTGCATCTTTGACCATTTTATAGATTTGATGGGTCCAAATTGAAATATCATTATTGTTTTAATGTGCATTTTATTATCATCAGTGTTTCAGGGCATGAATAAAAATGATATAGTTAGAATAAGAAGAAAAACTATGAATTTTGGGGAAATGTTTATTGGAGGGCTTTATTGGAATGTCCCAGGGACACCTGCTTGACCCTAAGCTCTTTAACATTTTTGTCAGTGATGTGGATAAAAACATAGATGGCACTTTTATCTTTAATA